AGATTAAAAAAAAAAAATATATATATATATATTATATATACACCTATATATAGGTACACACATATATAAATAGATATATTTTTTGGCTGGGGCCAGGTTTGAACCCACCACCTCTGGTATATGGAGCCAGCACCCTACTCCTTGAGCCACAGGCACCGCCCTATACATATATATTTAAAAAAAAACTTACCTTCGATATACAAATAAGGTCCCTTCTATATCAGTCTTCTCCTACAATAGAAAATGAGTCAGTTAGTTTTTTTCCTATAATCCAACTCCAAATAGTCCCAGTAGGGAAAGAAAATGCTTCATGTCTAACATAAATTTATTATATTTACCATAAAATGAATCACCTTTAGACAGGGAAAATCAGTCTTACTCTCATTCTACTAATTGCTGTTACCAGGTTTTTATGTATCCTTTCAAGGCTATGGGGCATAGTAAGCACATGCACTGTTCAGTCTAGCAATAAGTCATGCAGTGCTTTTCTTTTTTAATTAGCAACTGAGAAAAATCATAGAATTAGGTTTCACTTTCTCAAGCTAAAATATTTTAGCTAGATTTCTTAATTTTAAAGCCAAATTCTTGTGTACAGCAGTTTCTTCACTTTTAAAGTTTGTCAAAGTTAATAAAAAAGATTTTGTTGTTGTTGTTGTTGTTGCGACACAATCCCACCCTATGCCTCTTGGTAGCTCGCTACAACTCAGACCCGGGCTTGTGGGCATCCCGCTGCCTCAGCCTCGGAAGCTGCTGGGATTACAGGTGCTCGCCCCGCAGCGCCCCGCTGGGTTTTTCCATTTTTTTCATGGGGGGGGGCGGTGTCTCACTTTCTCTCAGGCGACCAGCTATTCTCCCTCCTCAGCCTCCCACAGTGCTGGGATTACAGGCGTGAGCCACCTCGCCCGGCAGATTTTTTTTTTTTTTGAGACAGAGTCCACTCTGTTGCCCAGGCTAGACAGGGTGCCACGGTGTCAGCCTAGCTCATAGCAACTGCAAATTCCTGGGTTCAAGCGATCCTCCTTCCTTAGTCTCCCCAGTAGCTGAGACTACAGGTGTCTCTACCACAACGGCCGGCTAATTTTTCCTTTTAGTAGAGATGACGGGTCTGGCTCTTGCTTAGCCTGGTCTCTAAACTCCTGAGCTCCTGTGATCCTCCTGCCTTGGCTTCCCAGACCGCTACAGGCATTAAGCCACCATCCTGGGCTCTAACAGGATACTTTGTTTCATCACTGCGGGATTTTTTCATGTGTAGCATATTTTATGGCTAATTACTATCAAATAAAATTAGTTTATTATTTTCAGAACTTGGTGAAGAATCATGAATACTGAAACTATACTCTACCTTAGTGTAAATTATTACTGGTCTTACAAATAATTAGAAAAGAACTTTTAGCTTAAAAGTGAATATGTTCTGATTAAGATGGTACAACTCATTACCATTTTTCATTTACTGTGACAAGAATGTATTTAGGTTACAATGTTTTTTAAAAAATAAATAACTTCATCAGTCTGTAGTTTACAGCTTAGACTGGACTTTAATACTTTACTGTAATCAACAAACTATTAAAACTTTGTTAGTTATATCAAATTGAACTGGTTGGGATAAAAACATTAAAAAATTTATCATTTTTATTTCTTCTACAAATATTGCTCTAGCTTAAGCATCATTCTGAAACTCTTCCTTTCTAAGAATCAGAGGCTTTTTCCTGCCTTTAAAATGTTATTAGTATAAAAATTGGTAATCAACTGTCTCATGGTAAAAGAAAACTTGTTCCCCTCTAAAAACATCGTGCAAAATTACAACTCACTGTAAAATAACTAAGAAAAAAGAATTTGATGTTGCTCTATGTGCCATGATCCAAATAAACAACAGCAGCTTATTTCTTATTTCCTTATTTCTAAACTTAAGTTATTACAGCTTGTATTTCATATTTAAAACTGAACTCTAGGCCGGGCACAGGGGCTCACTCTAGGAGGCTGAGCTGGGTGGATTGCCTGACTAGCTCACTCCTGTAATTCTATCACTCTGGGAGGGTGAGGAGGATGGATTGCCTGAGCTAACATGTTCAAGATCAGCCTGAGGAAGAGCAAGACCCTGTCTCTAAAAAAAAAAAAAAA